ATTTTTTTAAAGCAAGTAATCATTATATCTGGTGATCAGTACATTGAAATGTATTATTTTCAGCCCTATTCTAGAATTATAATGAATTGAATGACTTCAGGCTCTTTCTGAATTACAATGTGGCACTTAATAGACTGTTCACTTTTCCCTTATAATTTATCCTTTGGTCATTACTATAAGACAATCTTTAGATATTAAATACATTATATTAACAGAATGTAAGTAAAATTATTTTTATATGCTGGAGTATATTTGCAGTAACTCACATCTCTGCCTAATTTTATAAAAGTACTATAGTATTTCATAAAGTATTTTGGTTGTAAAATTAATTGGGATAAACTTTGTTTACTTCCCTTAGGTCCCAATGTATTCTTATTGAATGAGATGGATTTTGTGATTTCTACTTGTTATATTATATTAAATACCGGGAACTTTACATACGCCAAAATATTTCTAAATATTTGGAAAGAAATATGTTGAAACTTTTAGAAAAGATCGAAGGAATATTAACAGTTGTAAGCTTGTAGGGTAAAATAAAATGTTATTAAATAGTCTATTATCCCCAATTTGATTTGCAAAAATATCATTTGGCTTATTTTTTTACAACAATCAGTATATGTAATGAAAATATAGTGGAATACAGGTAGTCCCCGATTTATGGTCACAATTAAGCCCAAACTTTCTGTTGCTAAATGAGATATTTGTTAAGTGAATTTTGCCCCATTTTACGACCTTCCTTGCCACAGTTGTTAACAACTGAATCACTGCAGTTGTTAAGTTAGTGAGATGGTTGTTTAGTGAATCTGGCTTCCCCTTTGACTTTGCTTGTCCAAATTTTGCAATGGCTGATCACATGATCCTGGGACACTGCAACCGTCATAAATACATATCAAATGCCTAGTGCAGGGGTAGGCAACCTTGGCTCTTTTATGACTCGTGGACTTCAACTCCCAGAATTCCTGAGCCAGCTTGGCTGGCTCAGGAATTCTGGGAGTTGAAGTCCACGAGTCATAAAAGAGCCAAGGTTGCCTATCCCTGGCCTAATGTCTGAATTCTGCTCCTGAAACCATGGGCATGCTGCAGTGGTTGTAGGTGTGAAAAATGGTCATAAGTCACTTTTTTCAGTCCTGTTGTAACTTTGAACAGTTACTAAATGAACTGTTGTAAGTCAAGGATTATGTGTATAACATTTCCATAGCTACCCATCTTTCAAACAACTCTGAGCAGTTCCCAATCAAAAATCAAAAGACATATAAAATCATTTTTAAAACTATAGAACACAACCATTAAAAAATAAAACATTAAAATCAACAAAAACCCTGGTGCCAATCAGTGCTAACATGCCATTGTCTAACCCCAAATATCCTTCATTTTGTACAATTTAAGGTGGTATAAATAAAGTACCCATTCTCTATTTTCCCCACAGCCACCATCCTGTGAGGTGGGCTGGGGGTGAAAAAAAGGAGTTATTCCAAAGTCACCCTGACAGCTTTCAATTGAATCAGAAGCATTATAATTCTAATAGTTTGAACATATGTCTATGGGAAGGTGGTACAAATCACTGCAGAAGCATCGGATGCAAAGTATCCAGTTATTCTAGTCTGGAAGCCCAAATGTGTTTTAGCTTTAAATAGATTGAAGAATTTTGAAACATTCAGTAAACTGGAAGGATGATCCAATCTTGAAAGCAAAATTGAGTATTTCTCCAAATCATAAATTACAAGCCAATCTCACTCTTTCAAAAATATTGTTTTTTCACATAAAGGATTACTAGCAGTTTTTTTGTCTGCCAACATGCCCTGTCCCTACTATCCCAGTTTTTCAAGTGCACTAAATTACTGTTGATGCATTTAAGTTTTTCTTACCTATTCCTGTACTGCTGAAGTACCTATTTAACTCATTAAACAAAATAACAGAGTATTCATAATCAAAAGCATTAAAAGTTTTATAAGGAGGCCTTTTTGCAGAAAGTGTGTATCTCTCTCTGGTAAAATTTCTCTTAAAATGATCAGAGGCACAAACTAGGATAGACAAGTTTTAGTTGTATCTGTTCACTAAAGCAATTGTATTGAATAGAGCCTTCAAGGAACAACAGTGTAGCCACATTAAAAAAAAACCTAGCTGTTTTAAGGCAGAGAAGATCCATATGTGTCACTTTATCAAGGGAGAGGGATGAGTTGATCCCTAGAAAAATATTGAGAGTAATGCAGCATGTATGAGAGCAATTCAGAAATAAACCTCCATTTGGTTATCAATGAGACACTCGCAGTACTGAACTTCTATTATACACATTAGAAAACTACATTACATTACTTTTTGACATAACCACCATTCAAATTGAGACACTTGTCATAACGTCTTACAAGGTTTGAAATTCCTTAGTAGTAGTCACGTGGCGCCAAATCTGGGCTATAGTGGGGTGAACAAAAACATCCCAATGGAACTGCTTCAAAAGTTCTTGGTATGCGGGCGAGCATTATCGTGAACCAACACCACACCGGAAGTCAGCACGCCCCGACGCTTGTTATGGATGGCTCATCTGAGTTTTTGTAATGTTTCACAGTAGACATCTGAATTGAATTGCCCTCATAGCATACTCAGCTATCAATGCCCTACAGTTTAAGTTAATGGCTTGTTTTATGGACTGTGTGTTTCAGGATAAGAAGGATCTATAAATTTGGTTGCTGTGCACCAGTTTAGTATAGTGGTTAAGATACTGGCTTAGAAATGAAGAGACCAGGAGTTCTAGTCCTGCCTTAGACATGAAGGCGGCTGGGTGAGTTTGGTCCAGTGACTCTTTCTTAGTTCAACCCACCTCACAGATTTGTTGTTGTGGGGGAAATAGGAGGTGGAAGGAGTATTATATATGATTGCCACCCTGGGTTACTTATAAAGTAATACAGATAGGATAAAACTCTAATAATAAGTAAGTAATAATTTTAAAAAATATAAGATGAAATGTATTTGCAACAGCAAGCCCAAAATATATACCAATTCCCCTAAATAAAATCAAACATATCTATCTCACATAAGAACTTTTATGAGTCATTTCTGCTTGATTATTAAGACTGTTAAAAGAACTTGTTATTTTAGAGTTCTTCTTTTTTGCTACCAAGAGACTATCAGCAACAGCTTTGTGACGCATTCAGAACTGTACTTTGCACACAGAGATATGGGAAAAGACAAGAGAGTATGGGAAAAGTTGTCTTTTAGTCAGTACGTGCAAATACAGATATCCTGAAACATCCCTTAAGAACTCTGGAGGGAAGAGTGCCTCAAAAAAAGCAAACAATGCTGGTTTTAAAAAGATACCATCAAAGCTGACTGAGGTTTTGAACTTTGAAATGTTTGAACCATGGATATATCCAGGGGAGTCCAATAATACAGTAAGTTGTAACAGCTTATCGAAGTTAGCAGACATATTTATATTCACATTTTACTGCTGCCAAGGAAAACCCAGTTTGAAATGGCTTGCGGACTTCAGGCTGAAGAGCTGAAGTAAAAGTATCTTTTTAACAGTGTGTTTCATAACAGTAGAAAATGCATTACTTTGGTCAGCATTTGCACAACTATTGCTAATGTCTTCAGTGTGCCAACACGTTTATATAACAGTCAGAAAGCAATTCTGCTAAAATGGCAGCATGCACTGCAGAAGGGGCTGAAGTAACCTTAGTATAGCCAGATAAACACTGTATCAAAAGTTCGTGTGTGAAGAACTGGAACAAAAGCCAGAATCATCTCCTTGCCAAAGGTCCTGTGCTTTGGAGCCTACACATTACCTTAAGTAAAGCATGATGTGACCAAATAACTTGAGAGGCTTAATTATTATGTCTTGGAGCAATCATCCCAGAAGACAAAAGCACACTACCGAACTGTAACTGCTACCAGAAAAATATTGGAGTTATACAAAAGTCTTTATTCCCAAATATCTTCGAAGAATAGTCAAGATCATTTTAGATTGCATAGCAACTTTCACAAATGTGTCCCCATATTGTTTAAGGCAAAAAAACTCCAGAAATGCAGCACTCATCATACACCTGATCATGCAGAAGAATGTAAGAATGTGAGTCTCCCAGATCCTACCCATACAGAGGTTACTCAGCATTCCCTAGCCTTTGGTCTTCTACCTTGTTGTTCTGCAATTGTGTGTTTTTTCTCTCCACGCATTCAAAACAGGCTTCCCAACTATTTTGCCTTTGCCACTTTAGAATTTCTTCAAGGTTTACTTGGGGATTTAATGCTGCGCTGGCCTGCCAAAAGAAGTTGGTTTCTGTAAATTTATCTGGCAGCCTTTATTGCTGACCATCTGGAGAATATTTTAAAGTGAAAAAGAGAAATTCAGAGGGAGAGACCTGCAACAAAAACAGTCGGCTCTTCTCTCTCCCCCCCCCCCCCGCCGGCTCCAAGTCAAGAGATTCCTGATTCGTTTTTGGCCAAGGACTTCTCTATAAAAGCACCGCACTCTGCCAGCGCCGTCTGGGGAGCGACTGAAGCCTCGTACAGCAAATCTACCCGTCTCTAGTCTTGAGCAGAGCTCTCCAACTCACCGTCAATGAAACTCTTGACCAGACGCTCTTCGGGGGTTTAGCTTTCCACACGCACTGGCCGTCGTTAGACACGCATACACGAAAGTGTTTCGAAATGGGATGGAAGCGATTGAGATGGAAGTCTCTAGAACCCCACGGAAGGGACAGTGCCCCTTATCGTGACCCGCAAGTCATCCGAGGGGGCGGCGGATGGTCAAGATCCCCCCCCGGGTCCATGGAGAGTGCAAGGCACCGGCAAAAGGGGAAAGTTGCAAGCGCGGAATCCTACCATCAAGCCCAGGCAAAAGGACTGGCGCCAAGTTGTTGCTGCCGTCTGTCCCTTTCTCTAGTCAGGGCCACGCAAAATATTGCATTGCAGTCACATGACAACAGCGTCGCCCACCCACCCTACCCTACCCCCATCCCAAACCCCCACTCTCTCGTCCGACTGCCTCCTTCGCTTCCTTCCGTTACCTGCAATCTCTCCGTTGCCGGCTGCCACATATTTCTCCCGCTGGGACCTGGCGGGGCGGAGCGGCGGGACAGGGTTGCTAACGAGCTGGCTGTGGAGCGGCTGCGGCGGGTCTCCAGCCAGGCTCGTTCACATCTGCTCGGCGTGTGTCAGTTCGGGGCCAGCCGCCAGAGGACAACGGGGGGGGGGAAGGAATCGAGCGCCGCCCAGCCGAGGAGGGGAAAGGAGGCGTGTGCGTCGTCGGAGACGAGAAGCCCCGGTTGAACTTGGGCTGCGCGCAGCAAGAGCTCGGCGCCAGCTCCTCACCGCGGCGAGATGCGCCGTCCTATTGCCTTAGCTCCCCCTCCCCCCCCGCCCCTCACCCCTCACCACCACAGCGGCGACGGGGATAGCGGACGCTAAATCCCACCCCCGCGAAGCCCCGCCCAGGCCACTCCTCTCCGCTAAGTTCCGCCTCTTCTCGGTCTCCCCAACCGAGCGGCGTACTCCCTCCAGTCAAGAGCTTTCCGGTCCAACTGCTGCCCCCCTCCCCCCCCCGCCGCAATCTATGCCTCGCTGCTACGGGTGGTGGTGGTGTCCAGCGGTGTTGCTGCTGCTCTGCTATCCGGCCTAGGGTCAAGGATTCGCTGGTGGCGGTTCGGCTGCGTGATTTCAGAAGCAAAAGCAAAGTACCCTCTGCAATTAGACGGCGTCAGGAATTAACCTCTTTTCCTTTCTGTTAAAATGTGACGATTCCAACAAATAGTTCCTCGCTAGGATTTCCCCCCCCCCCCCCGACTCGGGATTTGTGATCCAGCCTTTTTAGTTTCTGATAGAATAGATCATCATAGAGAAGAAAGTCTGTGTGCTCAGTAAGAGCGAACACAGACTTGATGGCATGTGTTTGAGGGCATTACAGCAAGACACTGGTGAAGAGGGCATAGCAGGGCCTGCATTGCATGAGAAAAGTACCTCTTCCTTCTCCTTTCCTTCCCACTTTCTATAGAGCAGTGGTTCTCAACCTTTTTAATGCCGCGACCCCAACCGGTCGTAAGTTGAGGACTAAACTGATCATAAGTCGAGGACTACCCAACTGGTCGTAAGTCAAGGACTTTCCCTGCCCGGGAGCGCCGTGCATGCGTGGTTCCGCCCCCTGCGCCGGCCGAGGCATAGCTGGCAAGCGGCAGAGACGGAGCAGGCCGACCACCAGCTGGCCCAGCCCAAGGGAGGTAAGGCACCCGCCGGAAAAGGGGGGGAAAAATGGCGGACAAAAAAAATGGCGGACAGCCTTGCTTGGCGACCCCCATGAAATGGTCGATCGACCCCAAATGGGGTCCCGACCCACAGGTTGAGAACCACTGCTATAGAGGGACCATCCAGAGCATCCTGTCTTATTGCATTACAGTGTGGTTTGGAAGCATCTCTGCCTCAGACAGGAAAGGCGGTGCAGAGGGTGGTGAGGATGGCAGAAAAGATTATTGGTAGTTTACTTCCTTCCCTTCAGGCATATAAGGATGCTTGAGCAGGGTCCGCAATATTGCCTGGGATGCTACACATCCTCTTCATGACCTCTTTTCCTTGTTACCTTCTTGGAGGAGGCTTCGTGGTACCCAAAGCAGAACATCCAGATTCAGTCAGTTTTGTTCCATATAGCACCAACCTTGTGAACTTTCAGGTTTCCTCTTTCTGCTATGTATTCTAAATGGACAGTGTTTAATCTATAAGTATGGGTGTAGGTATATATGTATGTATATAGCATGTGTATATGTGTGTGATTTATGGGTATGGTTAGATATATTCTTTCGTTTGAGAGCACGCAACAGAATTTCATTTTTAATGGGCCCACAGTAAAAAAATGACAATAAAGGTTATCTTATATCTTATCTTTGTAATCATTATCTTCATCAAGGAAGTGTAGGATTGGATTTCAACCAACTTCCTTTGTTTGTCGTGTTTTGTTTGTTAGATTTGTGTGCTGTGGGGGGTAGACTTTATCCCTGTTTTTTCAAAAGTAAACTTCTTTCCCTACTGTGAGTTGTCAATATGGCTTGATTAAGCACTTCCAAATCCAGTATGAGTTGAAAGGGAGGAACAAGTTTAGATCACAGCTTTGCTCCGAGATTAATCGTCCTTAATTCTTTAGCATTGTAACATCCAACACTTTATAAATGATTTTATTGACCATTACGCTGTTAACTTGACTACCTTCCTGTTTGGGAATTGGTTCAGCGGTAGAATGCATGTTTATAAATTTGATTGGTAAATAAATATATGTTTTAAATGTTCAATCACATTTAAAACATTTATCTGGCATGGATCAGCAATTGCCAGCAGTGAAGGGAATGCTGAATTGACTGAGATCTTTTTATTTACTCTTTTCATCAGCAGGAGAGGGCCACACTTTTCCCTTTATCACACTGTTAGTCTGATCTTGGTTTAATTAGTCTTACACCAGACTTTCACATTTCAGAAAATAATGAATTTTTCTTCATTTCCATCACAAATCTAACAAATATGTAAAGTTTTAATTTTTTTTTAATCTACCTCACCTTATTGGTGAGGCGAAGTGAAGAAAACAGTCCAATTTTGGTCATTGATAGGTCCCTGAGGCAAAATCTGCGTAACATGGTAGAAATACAGGCCATTGGCTATTAATAGCCAACAAAGTGTCCTCAGAATATCACCAGTCTGACACCTCACACCTTTTGTTAATTAGGAAAGCAAGATGTTATGTTGAAATTGTGCTGAAGTTCCATACAGAATAAACACTCATTTAAAAAAACCCAAAAAACATCTATGTCTGTTTGTCTCTCTCTCTCTCTCTCTCTTTATCATCTATCTATTTTGGTTGATAAATATATTTGTTTCCAAACCCAAGGTGTCTATTTCATTATTTTAAGAATATAAATAGAATCAAATTAATTTAGGAAAATATTTTAGATTCTATATTTTTTCTGCATGTAGCCTGCATAATGTTTCCATTAAGGAATTTGCGAGTTAAGCTCATAACAAGACCTGAGACTATTTATAAAGTACATTTGTATCTAGAAATCAGGTCTCAGCAGTGTTCCAAGTCTAGCAACTTGCATCATTTATATCTGCCATTCCATCAGCAACATTATACAATAAAGAAAAAGGAAAAGACTTTCTGATACTCGTTTGCAAAAGAAACTTTGTCTCCTCCATTATGCAATCTATGTTGGTTGGACAGAGTAAAGAGACATCTGCTGGTGAGCAACGCAGCTCATCTCCTTATTTGGTGGAACTTACTAAAAAAAACACATTTTTCTACCTAGGTCACACATGGAAACAAGCAACAATATGGCAAGAGCAACATAGTTTGAAACTGACCATGCAACTGTTATGTTGTTAGAGGTAGTTTGGTTTTAGATTTTGTTCACAATAAAATTCTAGAAAAGCACATTGTTTGTGTAGACTCTGAACTCATTTTTTGCAGAATAAGTTCTTAAAATCTGCAGAGAAATAATGGCTGCCGTTTCAGAAAAACTATCTTTTGGACAGTGCAATAATCAAACACTTGTATCTCATTTTCATTTTTGGAAGAAACCTATTGGAAATTGATATCTTGGGGTGGAGAACCATGATAACAACAATAATACTCTGGAGCAGTGATGGCAAACCTTTTAGAGACCGAGTGCCCAAACTGCAACCCAGAACCCATTTATGCATCATCGAGTGCTGAGTGGGTGTGGCCCATTGGGGGGCGTGGCTACGGTGGTAACAGCAGACTGGGTGGGACTAAAAAGTTCAATCAATCAATTCCAACTTTGCAAGATCTTTTTTTTTCCCGTGAGAAGTTGAAATTGACTGATTGATTGAACCTTCTTTTTTTTTTTTGCACATGGCGGCGGAGGCCTAAAGCGAAAAGATTTTATAAAACCCAGCTGAAGGCCTAGGACTGGGGCGACAGCGCGCGTGCCCACAGAGAGGGCTCTGAGTGCCACCTCTGGCACCCGTGCCATAGGTTCGCCACCACTGCTCTGGAGCAAAGTGAACAAATTCTGGCTTTCACAGTGCTCATGTCAAGTCTTCTGAACAGTTAAAAAACAATCTCGGGATGCCGGACATAGTAATTGTATTCATAGGTTTAAACCTACACATGTTATTTAATGTAGTTATTTAATTTTTATTAATAAGATATGTATCTAGTCAGTCATGGTTTAGCGTGCTGTGTAGGATGATATCAGTACTGCAGAATATCATTTTCAATAAGTTAACAGCTGTTTGCAGAACTGGAAGCAGCAGATATTTGTAAAAGTCAATCTTATTGCTTAAAGCACTGGAAGAAGTCCAGGAAACCCCGTTAGGCTTTTGTAGTGGAAAGAGAAGCTGTTTCTCTAAATGCCTAAATGCTTGTACAGGGACTGCAGGATGCTGCCTTTCCCATTTTCACCAAGAAAACAGACTAAATTATTAACACGCACCAGTCTTCCTTAACTTGATGCTCTTCTAGATCTGTAGATCAACTTTCAGAATCACACTGTAGAATAGCCATGGCTAACAATTGCGGCGACTGGAACCCACTAATCCATATTGAGAAATTTCAAATTATGTGAAGTGGAACCTTTTTAAAAATGTATATTACGCCTACTGTTACACAACATTTTAATGGTTTTTACATTATTTTTCCCATGGTAATTATTCATAATCACCATTAACATTTCAAGGCATGAATTATCACACTTCTTTAATTATATAATAATGGTGAATAGTTAGTTGGTTTTGTTCTTGTTATCTCTAAACGAGGCTGAGGAAGGCTTATCTGAAATCTTGGACAAGTCTGCCTACGAATGGCCAGATTTAGAAGTAATGGTATATCCTGATTTGTTTAGCTAATTTCTGGCTTGCATGTATCCATTAGTCCTATCTGGCTAGCAAATTGTGGTCCTTTTCTATTAACAAAGCTATGGTGTGAAACTGTGGCTCAGAGTTGGCTAGCAAATAATATTGAACCAGATGGATAATAATTATTTATGTCTTCAAGTCAGTTTTTGATTCCTGGCGATTGCCTGGACTAGTTCCTGCAGTTTTCTTGGCAAGGTTCTAGGTAAGTGATTTGCCATTGCCTCTTTCTTAGCCTCCTTCCTAGGGCTGAGAGAGAGTGGCTGGTCCAAGATCAAGAACCCACAGTGTCTCAGTTTCTAGCCTTTTGTTTTAAC